TGAGCTGCAGTCTCAACTCCTAGTATCCCCCTTAATTACCCCGGGACCCTATAGCAGTCCCCTATATCGTCCTTTCTACAACCCCCTTTAAGGAGTTTAGATTATGGCTCATTTAAACCCTAAACCCTAAACTATATCTCCTATAAAACTTTAGGACCTTTGACCCTGGCAAGGTGCAGGATCGACTTGACGGTTCGGGCCACCTGCTCGCAAGAGTCCTGGGCCACCTGACACGGCTTGTGGCTTAGATCTTGTTACAGGGTACCTTAGAATAATTTCAATTCCCAAGTTAAAGCCATTTTTTACTATTCTCTATATGAACCACAATTTAGGGTGAGGTCGGGTGAGGTCGCTCTGAATTGCCCAGTTTGTAGGGCGTTGGACATATATGGTTCAGGGTTGAAGGATTAGTTTAGACTTTTTTGGGCCTAGGGCTTCTTAGACTTTCCTAGATTTTCTAGGGCTTATGACGTAATTAAGGTTTAGAATTTGGGAGCTTAGGGCTTATAGGGTTTGTAATAATTAATGGGGTTTGGGGGTGAGGGCCTAGGCTTTTGGGGCTCAGGGTTTAGGGACTTAGGGTTTCAGAGTTTAGGGTAGCTAGATGCAAGGCTCACAAAGGGCTCATATAGGGCAAATTAGGGTAGATGAAGTCCATGTGAGCCTCCTGAAGGCATGTCCGCCGAATAATTGCCCACAGAATCTTTCCACAATTTTCCCCCTAGCAGCCTAGCAAAGGTCTCTACAGAATCTTCAGCAACGGAATCCCAAAAGCCCGACGCAACCCCGAAGAAAATTTTGAGTATCTAGGGGCTGCCCATCTCAACACCCAAGAACCCAGCAAAATTCGGAAATGTGAGACATTAGGAGCGTCTTGAGATGCATCTGCGCAGGGAAGCATTGGGCAACGGAGTTGTTGTTTCAACTCCTACATTGCTTCATCGGGAGCCTTGGACTTGAAAATAAGTCCTAGTCCTAAGATGAAGGCATCATCCCATCCCACAAGAGATTAGGCATCACCAACACGTCACAGGTTCCCTGCAGCGCTCCAAACATTGGGGAAGGGCAGCTTCAACTGTGTTGGGAAAGGGTTACCAATCACGGGCAACAATTTTGGTTGCATAGTTGCTCAGGGCACGCTGGGACCCCAAAATGATGTTGACCCTCAGCGCCACTACTCGCCCAACAGGACCCCGTTTGAACATTATGTTGCACGCGTGTTGTAATGGTCATATGGAAAGATCTCTTTGGCTCACGAAGCCAAACCCAGACTTCGCGGGCCATGGGCGCGACATCCCTAATTAATCCCTAGATAGGCCTTGTTTCCATGTCATTTTCCATCTCCTTTTCCATTTCATTCTCCAGTATGACCCCTATCACCCCTGCCTCGGACTTCTTCTTGCGCTGCTGCGCAGCCCACGAGGTCTCCGAAACCTCCAGCTTGGCAGCCTTTGGCGCAGCCTTTGGCGCCTGCCAGTAAGCCATACGCTACAAGCATGCCATGCCAAATCATATGAAGTTGCAGGGAGGGGGTTCAGTTTTGAGAAACTCCTATACTTGTGAAGTTGGTGATTTATTGTGCCTTCAGCTCGGAAACAGCACAACAAACTCACAGCGTAGATCCGTGTTAGAGAACCTTGCACGCGATGACTTTGTCAGCAGCAGCAGCAGCAGCAGCAGCAGCAGCAGCAGGAGTAGTAGTAGTAGTAGTAGTAGTCATCAGAAAGTTGATAGTACTTCTGCAGCAGTGCCCACTGCAGCGGAGGCAGCAGTAGCAGCGTGAGCAGCAGCAGTAGCAGTTAGCAATAGCAATAGGACTAGTAATAGTAATAGTACTAGCACAGAAAATAACACTGAAATCAAGGGGCCTTGCTCTTCGTGGAGACCTTGGCTTTGGGGGTCTTGGCCACAGGCGTGAGCGCCTGCATCAGAAATGCCAGGTTCTACGAGAGATGGCGTGTCTCAGAGAATTTGGAGGTTTCCCGAAAGTAGGGGTACCTTATTGAGGGTCCCCAGAATAAGGATTATAACATTTTGGGGTCTATATTATGCATCAGGCTCTAGCGGTCAGATTTCTGTGTGGGTAAGGGTCTGTAGGGTGACAGGTCATGCTCTAGACCTTTCCACTTTCGGGTTGCTAGTGCCCTGTTTACGTGGACTGTCCAAGTCATGGAAGCTTTGAAAACAACTTCGGGGCTATTCGGGGCTGCAAGTAGCTCAGTAGGCTAACTGGCGTGGCGTGTCAGGGCGAATGCGGCAAATGGCTGCATGCATGGACAAACACATCATGCTTTAACTGTTATCATCCAGGGTCGCCCTAGCTCTCCTCTCCTACTTCCATCAAAGGACATTCTCAAGGACGCCTGGCAACCAATCGCAACAGGGAATGATGGAAGGGGTGCCCCATCACTGAAGCCGGGACAAACGCTTCGGGACCCTCTCCTGAAAAACAAATCTAGACCGGCCCCCATAAACCTGCCCCAAACGCCCAGTCCGACGTCTTTCAAGAGCTATGACAAGCCTTCTTTGGGGTGACAGAAGGGGAAAGCGCGTGGCAAGGAGACTTCCGACGCACAAGCAGAGGATACAGGCTGCTTCCCTCACAGCTCATATACAGTCGCTCGCCGGGCTGTGTTGATGGTTCGGTTTTCTGACTACATGTACACGCTTTTATAGATAGGTCAGCCGTCCAATAGCCACCCATCCAAAGTACGCATCCATAAATCAAGAAAATCCCGCGAAGCCCATAATGTGCTCCATGCAATGCATTTCGTCCCAATCCACAACTCCAGAACGAAAAAGGTCGCCAAACTGCACTGTTGACTCTTGACAAAGCCCTGCATGACCCCGAGGCCTTCTCTGCCTTGGGTGCCTTCTCTTCAAAGGTCTGAGTGCGGTAGAGGATCATGGGCTCCTGCAATTGGGGATCTAAGGTATCCCTAGAATCAGGATAATGTGCGAGGTATAGATGCCGTTTCAAAACAAGCTGACTCTGTTGTCCCTGCAATCACGCTGGCTTGCGCCAAGAATTGCACACGTATGATTTCGTCTTAGGGGGTGACCCTACTTTGGAAGGAAAAGCACCCTGCCAGTGCAAGTGCATGCTGGTACCAAGGCTTGTACTAGCAAAGCATGCCACCAGCAATCAGAAAGCGCAGAAACAGTTGCCATCTTACAAACCTCCGCATTCCCATTCCTCCTTGGACTCCAGAACAGCGGCTCGCCACTTCAGCATCTGCCTTGTTTTCAGGCATTGACAGTTTTTCCGTGCAAAGTGACCGCAGTACAAATGTTGTTGCTATTTCAGCTATGAGCTGCTTGAAGATGTATGGGTGGATATGCATGTCTGCATGCACAGATTTCTTGCATGTTCCAAGTCTCTCAACACCTACAGGAACAGAAGCTGCAGTCCTTCATGAGGCTTAAGACGCCAAGTTGCTCGAGGGCGAAGTTCAGGCTACCATCACAAGGAATTTAGTCTAAACTCCGCGTATCCCCTGAATAACCCCCATAATACTCCCTGATCCCCTATATAGCCCCCTTTAAGGAGTGTAGGCTATAGCTCATATGAGCAAATAAGAAGGCTTCCTTTATTGTAATTTAAAAAAGTTCCTGAAAGGCAACCCAGGTTGCTTGAGGGTGAAGACCGTGTCTGGGTCCACATCCGCAGGCTCGTTGATGGGACCCAGCTCCTCTTCTTCCTGAAGGTCTTTCATTTAGGGTTTAGGGTTTAGGGTTTAGGGGTTCAGGGTTTAGGGTTTTAGGCTTTTAGGGTTTAGGGTTGAGGGGGTTTAGGGTTTAGGGTTTATAGTCCTTAAGTAGATAGAAAATGGCTTTGGGTGGAGTTATATAACATCCCCATATACCCCCATATTCTATCTACTTAAGGGGGACTATAGGGTTTAGGGTTTTGGAGTCTGAAGGTTTCTGATGTGGGGGCTTCCCAAAAATAGGGGTCAGCACAGTCAGGAGTAGAGTATTTCGGGGGTCCCCCTGCCCATGGAAACTTCCATGACTGCCATGATTTGAGTCTAAGGTTTGATGAGGGTTTGTGGGGTCCAAGGTTTGTTAGGTCTCAGGTTCAGAAGAGTTCGTGGTTGACTGAAAAGCCTCTAGCAATCAGACACCCAAGCCCTCAGCTACATATTTGAGGACATATAGTCCCCCTTAAGTAGATAGAATTTGGCTTTAGGTATATTTAATAAGCTCCCCCATATATCCCATATTCTATCTACTTAAGGGGGACTATAGACTTCTACAAGACACAACTAAGCAGTGCGAACACGTCTCTACTCAAAGACCGCTACAGACCCTCAAGCAGCCTGGCCACCGACCAAAACGGCGAATGCTCCTCATTTAGCAACCAGTCACAGCCTACCCGTCCCTGTTCGAACTCTTTACCCTACCGCCCACACGGCCTAATTACAAGCCCGAACACATCAGCAAAAAAATCGAAGGAACACCGAGTTAGCCCGCAAACCGTTCCGGCCGCGGCACGGGCTCTGACGACGCTGAGCTGATCGAGTGCTCAGCCTCTGACGAAGCATCCTGGCTAAGAATCCCTGAAGTCCTGGTTTAGGGCCTTACTGGGATTCTACGGCTACAGGATATGTCCTGGTCTCTTGGGAGCTGCTTAAGTTTGTTACTACTACCTTTGAGTCCCAAAGGCCTAAGGGGCCAGCCACATAAGGTCTGCTGGGCGGGGGGGTTTTAGGCTCCGAGAACCTTGTCATCAAAGTCTCCAGGCTTCAAACTCCTGGCAACAGAGGCCCGAAGATGCCTCAGCATTATCGGTGTAGGGTTTGAGTTCAGGCATAAGAGATTGACATCCTTGAAGTCTGCCAGTGGCCAAGCTAGATACCCTCTTCTCCAGCCCTCACCACTTGTGGTAACATAACCAGCAAAGACACCCATGACAGCATCCGGACCGAACTTCGTACTCAATTTGCTGGGCGATGTAGGCTTGAAATTCACAAGGGAAGCCCCCAGCGTTGCAGATGGGGAAAGACCGACCTGGAGAAGTTACACGAAAGTGTAGCCAAGTCGAAACCGTTCCAAACTGAGCCACGGAGTGTCGCGCGAACCCTACAAGCAGTTGGAGGAGTGACACTACGACTTCAATCCCATACGGGCGGCGAAGGACATTCAAGAGAGGCGTTCAAAGCCTGCTAAGAAAGTACCGTAGCAGGATTGCTTCCAACTGCATCTATTGCACACGGACTGGCATCTTCGGATCACCGACCTTGTCTTTGATAAGGTCTGCTGCAGACGCTTGCTGGTCGTTTGAAGGCAGGAGTGTGTCAGCTCTATCACAGATCACAAAGGCATGGTCGTTTCGCTGTCGAATCCCATCAAAGAACGCTTCTTCATCCCAAAGCCCACTCCTCATCGTGCGATGACGCTTTGGACTCCTCCGCCATGCGGAAACACAGATCATGACTTGAAATTACAGAAACTGTGCAGCAACATGACTCCTGCTCCTTCTTGCCTGAAAACTTCGTGCGACCCTTTGGAAAAGGCGATGTTTCTCTCTACGCAGCCCCAGGCCCATGAAAAAGGGTCGAAAAAGAAAAGAAAAACACGATGGTAAAGTAGGATTGGGTAAGATACCTTTTACAAATTCTTTTGCTTGGAGCCATATCGAAACCCTGCTCGGTGATGTTGGAATGGGGCTGGAATGTCAACAAATTTCCTGGAACAATTGAAGATCAGGAAATGTTCTTGGAGGTCAGAATTCTGAAAAACTTTGGGAACAAAATCCCAAGACGAGCCGCAGCAAGCCCTTCACTGGAGCCAGGGGAAAGAGAAATGCTGTTGTTTTGCTGGGCTGCTGTTAAGGCACTTAATTTCAATTGCCATAGCATGGCTGAATGGTAAACAATAGGGTTTCCTTATTGTACTGAACTGAAGTTCCTTAACAGCAACCCATTTTGGGGTACTGGACAGTGTCCCACGTCAACGGCACAAGTATCTCGAGGCATCCATCTCATTCCCAATCAAGTTCTTACGCAGTCCTGTATCAAGATTTAAAGGTCTCGGCCCCCATTTTGGGGGGCCATACAACTTTTATACCTCTAATACACTTATAGTAACCCCAGGAAATCCTGCCTTCAGCAAATCCGCAGCCTCGTCGGCCGCGAGCGGCGAAGGCTCCTCAGCCGGTTCGGCATCCTGGGTACGGTGCGATGTGGGTTTGGGGGGTTTAGGGTTTAGGGTTGGATTCTTTTTTAAAACCCCGAGGACTTTTACGTCTGCACGATGTGCACGGGGTCCAGAGCCTAGGGTTGGGTTTAAGGTCTAGGGTTTAAGGATTAGGGTCTAGGGTTTTTGTTTAGGGTCTAGGGTTTAGAGTTTGGGTTTAGTGGGTTGTATTATGATTCTTGGTTTGCTCTTTTTGGTACCTGTTTGGGGGATCTGCGAAATACTGCTGTACTGAATGTCATGCTTTGATAGTAAGCAGCCTGTCTTCCAAGAATGTCTAAGGGCTTCCAGATCTTATGCCATGTGGGTGGGCTTCAAGCACTCTGGGCTGTAGTGGTCTTGGGAAGAGTAGGCTAGGTTGAGGTGTGTTCAGATAGATGCGCGCTGTAGCGGGACATTGCTGATAATCGTTCAGGTTTCTGTGCCATGTACATCTTTGGTTTCCTCATCAGCAAGCTTCTGGAAAATGCGTCCGCCAAAAATTTTAGGCCTGGAGTCTGGGGGCTTGAGGCTCGACAGGTTTCCGGGGTTTAGGGTTTAGGGCGTTGCCTTTGCGCAATTCCTGGTCTGGAATGTAAGGCTCTGAACACCACTGCAGGATACAGAAGCAAGCCTTCACACCCCCTATCCTACCGACATGTTTATCAATACGTGCTCTTACTACTCTATTGGCTGTGGTCTCCTTAGACCTAAAATATTTTTTCTAATTCCTTCAGGCTATAATATAGTAGGAATAATAACAATTCTTACGGAGACTACAGTTGGAAGTACAGAACTACTAGTACTATCCTTACTATTATGATTCATTTTTATTATTACTAGTATTTCTATTATTACTATCATTACTATCACTACTATTAGTACTATTAGTACAAAGGACTTCAGCATGTACGTCACTGAGGACCAGTCCTCAGACTCAGCTTCGCTCGAAGTCTCAAGAGCTTTAGGAACTTTCTTCTCTGACCTTGGCTTGAACTTACTGGTTCTTGCTAGGGAATAAGGGACTACAATCCTTATATAATCCCTATATAGTATATTCCCTTATTCCCTACTAAGAAGCAGTAAGTCAACTAGGAGTCTGGCTTGTGATGCAGAAGATACTGCGATGCCAAATGCAGCTTGATATCTCTTAGAAGCTTCGTAGCTGCGTTGCACCAAGCATGTGGCCAGCCCAACATGACTGCACTTCCCCGAGGCTCCTATGCATCCCACTAACGTGCCATCCTGTAGTCCGATTTGAAGAAAGCGCAGGGTTTGCCAAGACTGACAAGTTCTACGAGTAAAAGAGCTCACTTCACAGACTCCGGCCCAGGCAGTACACAACTACACTCACACACTTTTCTGGCGGGAAATTAAATGTGCTGCTTTGGATTGTTTGAGTCTCGCGACACGGCGGCGGGTTTCGGTGCGATCTCCGCATCAGAATCCTTGGTTGACTTATATCGGGCGCTTGGCTTCTAAATTGCTCTCACGAACTCGTTCCGGTACACTGTGCTCAAAGATTGAATCATCAAACACACAAGGAGTAGCTAGAAGTCGAAGAGTTAGGAAGTGACTATGGCCATATGAGTCATGGTCGCTGTCGTTCAACAGCAGCTGCTGCAACGTTGTTGCCGTGCTGGCTGCAAAGCATTGAAGAAGCTCGGACCAGATAGACATTTTGCATTTGTGTATTTAAAGCACTCCCCCTACATACAGACGCTACACAGCCCTAAAGAAGGCATGCCTCTATAGGAGGTCCTGAGCCAGGAGCCGCTGTAGCAAGCACCATCTTACTGCGTGTGCTGCATCTCTCTACCAAACTCCTGGGGTACCTATGTTTCCTCCAAACTTACCATGTACATCATAAAAATTGGTCTAGGTGTCGGAATCCGAGAGGTCTGAGAAGTCATCCAGATTGATGGCAGCCTCAGCCATGGGTTTTGGGCTTTTGGGCTTCTTGTGTGGGATTTGCAGTTTAGGGCAGTCAACGCCGTGAATTGAAACCGCAAACTCCAACCCTTCAAACATGGCGGGGGAAGCTGTTCACCTATAGCGGGGAAGCGCACACGTCAATGCTAGGGGGACGGGGACAGTGCATACTTTGAATTTCCGGCAAGAAGTAATGCTCGAACATCGGCTGCTTCCAAGTTTGCCTGATGCTACGTGAGAAGCGTTAGGTTCTTAAAATCCTGGTAGCATGCCTGGCCACAGAACAGATGAGAAAACGCGGCCGTGGTGCTGCCTTGGGGTTGCGAGCACCCTTGGAGTACGCACCGTTGCTGTACTGATTGTTCGCGTAGCCCTGGACATAGCCGTTGCCAGTGTAGCCAGTGTTACCGTAGCTGTTGTCCTGGTAGCCGTAGGAATAGCCACTGTTTGCGTAGTAGCCGTTCATGTCGGCTTGCTGCATGCTTCCCTGGCCAGAGTACTGACAGTAACCGGCCGAGGAGTAGTACTGATTCTGCATGTATTGCGCGGGAGCTGCCGCACTGGGCTGGAACTCCTGCGCAAAGGAAGAGAGCGTAGATGGATTCGCAAACATGTCCGGTAGAAGTTTCTTGGAGAGGCGTGAATCAGGCGAAGGAGGCTGTTTGCACAGCTCAGGCGCCTTGCTACAGATATGTAACGGAAGGATGACAAAGAAATGTCCAAGCCAAACAGCTGCGGGGAAACAAGCGGCGGCTTTGAACCCGAATACCGGCTCCCTACCAGGGCCTCAAAAACCGTCCGTAAGTGTTGCACATAGCCACATGCATGGCCCAAGCCTCGACATGCTTCTGACCCTGCGCGGACTGAAAAACCCACGATTGCGGCTTGGCAGGCATACGTCTCTCCCGAAGTCGGCATGTGCTAGAACAGCTGCAGTTCAAGCGTTGATTCTGGACAGTCTGTGTCGGGTCCTTTCACGATCCCTGGCACACCCTGAAACAGCCTGCAACGAAAAAAACTCTTCATGCAGGAGAGGTTGCAGGCGGATGCGGTGCATCAGCTCCTGTTGCATCTTTCCTGCGCATTGGTCCAAAGTCTATGATGTTACAGACTGAGGGTAAAAGGATTTGGGCTTAAGGCTCAGAAGGTTTGGGGTCATAACAACCTCAGCTTTCAGGTGGACTGGGAGGCCGGCTGGATTGTTCTCATGGCCCACAAGCATGCATGTCCCAAAGGAATAGCGATTATTTCCCCCCATGTACCCGAAATATCATGATCCGTAATATTTTGGGGGCTTAGGGACCCCCAACCACCGTGACCCCCCAGTAGGAGGGCTTCAAAAAAAGGACTCCATTCTAAACCCTAAATCCTAAACCCTGAACCCTAAACCATTGGAAACGCCCATGCAGCTTAGCAGCCAGCGACGATGGACGAGAATGTGGACTTCCTGTCAGCCACAGGGCTTGCATCTGGCATTGCAAACTATATATTCTTTCATGGGGAGCCATAAGAAACAGTGACACCCCTCGCGAACAAAAGCTCACCGCTAATGTAATGGTAGGGTATCAACTGGGGACTGTGAACGTTTTATGGAGTTGTAGCGAAGGTGGGACTTGTAATTTTCAAAGGGACTTCCACAAGACAGCACCCACAAGAGACAAGGCGCATACAGTCTCAGGATATCTCAGGCAACGGCGGCTGGAACTGCTAAGAACGGCATTCCCTTAATCTCTCTTAGCAGAGAACACTAGAAACCCATTGTTTATTTTACAGTGCCCACCCTGTTGTTGGTCAAAACCTTGCACGAGGACACCCAAACTGCACTACCATACTTCTGCCCGCTTTTGGTAGATAGGGTCACACAGAAGTCGGTACATCAAGGGTATTTCATTAACATGCCCTGAATATCTCTTGTAGCCCTGAAGGACCTGGTTGCCTAGTTCGCTAGCTATGAGAGGCTAAACGCTAAATCGATACAAGGACTCCTCTGCCACCGCCACGCTTGGCATCCATTTTTGCAACGCTGAAGCCTGCATCCTGATCCCTGTCGACCCTAACCTCCAAACCCTACAGTGTAATATATATATACTGTATTATAATTTAATCTACTATATTATACTGTATTCTAATATGAAATGCAAGCCCGAATGTCAAAGCCGTGCAGATTTCAAGCCTCATGAATCAGTAAACCCAAGTCCTACCAGTAAAGCCCCTACCTAACTCCTGAGCACATATTCCAAGCCTTTAAATACTGAACCCTGTGAAACATAAAGCCCCAGGTGCTAGGCCATGAACCCTGAACCCGTATTGCCCCAAACCCTAAAACCCTAAACCCTTTTATTGCGTTTTTGAAATCTGGACCAACCCATAAATCATAAATCCTAACCCTTCGCCCACACTTCTAGTACTACTACTCTCATTTCTATTCTTAGTATTATTACTTGCTATTTCTATCATTACCAGCATTCTAAACATTGTGTCTAGCATTACTCGTACTACTATTGAATTATTGGTATTACTTACAACCTACTACTACTGTATCACCCTTGAAGCTTTTCGACTTGCAGCAGAAGTGCTCGATCGACCAGAGCTCTGCCTCTGGTGAGGCAACCTGTCGGCCAGCTGCTGGTGGTCATAAATACAAATGATGACAATAATTAGTGCGAATAAATATTAAGTGTGTAAGAGTACTAACAGTATTAATGGTAGCAACAGTAATGATTACGAAAATGTTGATAACGGTAATGGTAATGAGGATAATACTAGTAGCACCAAGAGAAATAGGGTTTTTGTTATAGCGCCCTGTTCCGTCTGCCCTGAGGGCTTGGGGCTAAGGGCATCGAGTTTAGGATGTAGAGATTAATTTGGGCTTAGGTTATTAGTTCGGGGAGTTGTGGTTTATGGTTACAGGATGTACTTGCGAACAAGAACACCAGCTTAGGTGCGTCCTTCATGGAGTGGCCTGATCTAACACAAGGTTATGAGGATGGCCTCATCTCATCGCTCTGTTAAGCAACAAACCTACCTCTCCAAAGCTATACTCAGTAGTCGCAGCCAACGACACTTTCAAACATAACCTGCAGCGCCGTCGCAGCTGGATTTGTCTCATGCCAAGTGCCGTTGCATCAATAGATTTCCACGACAAGAAGAGCGGACAGGCCATTGTCCCAACAACCCTAAACACTACACCCTAACCTGACCGCCGCCACCGGACCTCGACCGTAGCAGTTCGGGGCTCATCGAAAAGCAGAGCACGCTCGCCGAAGTAGGAGTTCTTCGTCATAGTACCTGAGTACACGGACCGGAAATTTCGGAAAGTCTGGGCTGTAAAGAATGACAAGAAGCACAATGGCCTGAAGGCAAAGAAGCAAGACCCCAAGTTGGAGCTACACTCCTCAAGCACGCTTTAGATCTGAACCCCGGGCCCGCCCCCCTTCATTCTGCAGCCCTTGGGACGGATGAACTTCCCATCGATTTCCACATTGACATCACCGCTGGCGATCACGAAGAAGGAAGCGCCAACTTCACCCTGCTTGATGACGTGGGCACCTTTCATCGTGCACTAATGGAAGCTGACATTGAAGTAGCATTACTAAGAACAGGAAAGATAGCAATCGTAGTACTGGCTGTGATAACACTACGTGTTGCAATGCAGTCCACTCCACCTTCCTAGAATGTACCTGGCGAGGATAGACACGGGAAAAGACCTCGCTGTAGTGAAAAGACTATGGTTCAGAGTAACCTTTGATGTAGAAGCCTGAGTGGTTACCAATAGCCTTTTGAGCTATCTGACGTACCCTATGTGCCTATGTCACAAGTATATAAGGAGTCTTGGGCCGTAATACTGCTGGCTAGTACTTATCCCTATACTACAGAACCTGTAGGACCAAGTTTCCATGTTTTCCATTTAATTGCCATCATGGGGGTGAGATGGGTAAGTAATACCACCCCAACCACCCAAACCCTAAACCCAAAAGCCCAAACAACACAAAACCCTACACCTTAACCCTAAATCCCCAAACAACACAAAACCCTAAATCATATTCAGGCTTCTACATTAGCTTACCTGCCGGGTGCGGCAACGCAACTACCTGAGCACACCGGCTCCAAAACCTATCTTTGAGGGTCCCTTTACAGGGGTTGTGGGGAAATATAGGATTATATAGGAAGATAAATATGTAGGGATCTATGGCAATTCATTTGGATTTATTGGCATCCGTATTCAAAGGGCCAATTGAAGTGCCGGCCGAACAAAGCTTGCCATGCCGCAACTAAGCCATGAACCCTAAACCCTAAACCCTTTACATCCCTGACATGCCTTGCTGTTATTACATGGGGATTGCTTTCAGTGGGGCCTCTGGAAGCTTTCAAACCCTAAACCCTAAGCACCTTTGCGGTACCGTTGCAGCACGAACGACTGGACCAACCTCAGCACAGTTGCAGACTCCAGGCAAACTGGGTCCGTTTGCTGCTGATACGGCTTCGGCTTTGGGGTTTAGTGTTTGACACGAGCTCTTATTCACAAAAATGCCAATAACAGCTGATTTCGTGGGCGTGCAAGAATCAGAAGTGGCCCAAGTGTTGCGATGATGCAGAGTAGGATCTTTGACCTAGCTGTTCCTGAGTATGGTCCAATCCGGCGGGGTTCGCTACTTACTTTGCTACCTTTCATTCTGATTTAAGCTACCATACCTAGACACTAGACTGTTCTTGCAGGGCCCTTTTGCCATGCAGACAGAATCCGGAGCGGAGCGTGCCGATAGAGCAGTCAAGGAAATGCGGATCAAGTCTTACTATGCTGTGGTAAAGTGATTAAGGTTTGAATCCCAATCGGTTCATGGAACTCCTCTCACGCTCACATTGGACATCTGTTCTACAGCATATCTACAATCAATGGTGGCGTGTTTAATCAATCTGACGTGGATGACCTCTGAATTGCCAAAAACCAAATTACAAGATCGGGGCATCGCTGAAATGGGGTGTGGAAGTCATAGGGGTCATGCAACTTTGCTGTTTACAAAAAGAACCCATTGAGGACTTGTTCCGAAGGGCTTGTTGATCTGCTCGCTCGAGAGGTGTCGGAAGATATGCACCTGTACGCGAAGGAGATGCTTCAGGTGCTGCCACTTGTGCAGGTGGATACGCCTTAAGGGTAGGTGCTATATGCTGCTTCTGAAGCAGATGGGGCCTTTTGTCGGAATGCCAAAGCGGGCAAGGTTTTGCACATACTTTTGTGGGGCTCACTGCTGATTCGTGCACGCAGCTGCTTTCAAGCATGCCTCAGCGCAGCCCACCAAATCTGAAGGGCAATGACTAGCTTCCTGGACCTAGCTTTTGCCAGACCTCCTGTATGGAATCCTGAATGGCATGTACGTGTAAACTGTGCCACATCTCCGCTTGTTGGGATTCTAGCATTTGAAAGGCTGCTCCTCCCTGCCAGGGCCTTCTTGGCAACGATCAGCTTACGCGTGAGATCTGAAGCCTGCGATCACGAAGGCGAGACAGGCCAAGCATGTGGGGCTGTGTTGGGATTTCTTCCCAGCAATAGAAACACAAGATGGACAATGATCAAAACAACAATGTAGCTTCCATGACAAAACCATTTTCATGATATTGATCATGCCAGTGACGGTAATCATGTGTAGCTATCAAGGGAAGAAATAAGTAATGTGATAGTGGCAGGGGCGCTTCAAACAAGACTTGGCATGGCGTCACATCGACAGCAGGCGTAATGGACTGGATATGCTTGCACACTTTGGCGAATCAGTTTAAGATTCACCCCGCCAGCCCCAACAAGTGCAGCGCAAGAAATGCACTGCAAATGACTGACGCTCAGTCATCTTTTTGAATGTCTGGCGATTTAGAATACAGAAAAGTGTAGAATTTCCATCTATGATATGGGCTCAGAAGCCATCTAGAGGAAAATGTGAACTTGTTGTGGTAATAGGCTGGAGACTGGACTGAGTCACTTCAGAAATTCTGTACGACTATCCACCATCAGCGCCCAAGATTATAATTCAGTCACACAGTCTAGGGTGTAGGGTTCGTAGCACCTACACACCCAGGCCACGCTATACCCTTAAGCAGTCATCTCCACATACTCCCTATTGGCATGCAGGTTCTATTCTTGGAAAACTTGCATATGACCACAGCCATACGTGACACATCTCTGGGCATAAGATAGATTCCAAAAGTCGGAAAACATGTGGCACCCTGTACACCTGTTGCAAAACCAGCGTCCTGTTACCACCAAAGTGGACCCAATTTCGACAGGCTCGAAGCTCAAACAAGCTGAACTCAAAAATGCTGAACCCAAAAAACCTAAAATCTGAAATCCCTGGGGCCCACACTACACTTACTGGTTGTTGCATAGTAGGGACTGGAGGATCCCTATAGTAGCCGTATATAACACCGAATAGTACTCTCAATTTTCTTTTTCCAGTCCTTCATTCCCTACTACCTACCAACCAACCCTGAGCCCTATATACATGTGTATATATGTATATATATGTAGATGCTCCCTATGAATCCGTGTAGAGCCCAGTTTGCAGGCCATTTTCCATGTGCCTCTTTGCATGTGGCTTTCCGTTCAAGAAACGCTAATTTCTAAACCCACAAACTCAAAGGGTACTCTCCATGTTCTTGTATTTTCCTCCATTGCCGACTAACCACAAGTAAGAGGAGCCCCAGCACCTTAATCACCAAATGATAGACCCTGTATACCCCCCAGAACCCCCAAGTATTCTTATCCCCTATATAATCCCAGCTTTCCTTTCATTCTCCTTCAGCTTTTCCATGTGATTCTCCATTATTGAATAATATCCATAAATCCCCACTAAAACCCTTAACCCCCAAGCAGCAACCCGATACATTAACGCCCTGACCTGCAAGTAAACCCCCAAACCGTAAAACCCTCAAAACCCTAAACGCCCGAACCCTCAATCCCTATACCCCTCCCTACCCCCCTAAACCTCTTAGCCCCCATTGAGATTGGCTCAGCACCCTGGCAACCTCCTCGGCATTGCCGATGGCTGCCAGGCCCAACTCCTTGAGAGCGCCCAGAAGACCTTCCTGGCCAAGGCTATTCCACAGGGTTTAGGGTTGCCCAGACTTCTAGGTTTCCGCAAGTTTGGAAAATCCAGTTTTCGCCAATTTTCTATGATTTAAGGTTTTTAGGGTTGAGGGTTGTTTTTGAGGGTTTAGGGTGTTTAAGGTTCTCAAGGTTTGGGCAATATAGGGTTAAGGGTTTTGGGAGTGTGGTTGTTTTCGGGGCTTGGGGCTCTTGGATTTTGAGGGCTTAGGTTGCTTTCGGGTTTTGGATCTTTAGGGCTTGGTGTTTTAAGAGTTTGAGGGTTCTAGGTTCGTTAGGGCTCAGTGTTTTTGGATCTTTTTGGCTTTTTAGGTGTGTTTCGGTTCAGGGCTTTGGACCTTTTTAGGGTTGTTGGAGTTTAAGGCTTTTAGGGTTTGGCCTTTTTATGAATGTTAGGTTTAGGGCTCCAAGGGTTTATGGTTTTTGGGTTTAGCGCTTTAGATTAAGGATGTTAGGTTTTTGTTTAGGCTTAGGGTCTTTGGGGTTTAGGGTGTTTAAGGTTTAGGCTTTTTCAGGTTTAGGATGATTGGGGATTGTGGTTTTCGGTGTTTAGGGTTTTTAGGGTTAGGTGTGTTTCTAACTGTTAGGATCTGGATTTTGGGTGTGGGGTTACTCCGCCCTATTCTTGCAAGCCATTGAGGGATGTGGCAGTTGTTGATGAGGATTCTTATTCGACGTGGCACGGGGGGGAATTGGGGAGGAACAGCTCCCGCCTTTGCAAACCATTGAGGAATGTGTCAGTTGTTTTCTAAAATTTCACTATCCCCAACACTGCGCCTGCGCAGACCAACGACCTGACCCTCCCTGTCAGGTCAGGATTCTTGAAGCCCCATAGTTTCCAGATGTCCCGAAAGTCGTCGTTGTTGGAGGAGGAGGATGAGTAGTAGGAGTACCAGCGCGCATACGAAGAGGAGGAGCAGGAGCAAGAGATGGAGGAGGAGCAGGAGAGGCTTTTAGTAAGGCTGATTTCCACGGCAAGCCATGTTTTTTTGACGGATTCTTGGGCCCGGAATCTTGTGATGTCACCCCCTTCATATTGATCACCCTCAAACCCACAGCTACGAATAACTTTCATAAGGAAACGTGTGGTTCACAACTTAAATCTAATTCAAAATGCTAAGTCTAACACTTTTCTCTAGCCCAAAAGATCTGATATTTGTCACCCCCTTCATATATTGGGAGATTTCCAATGATGGTAAGCCTGAATGGTCAAGCTTCAACGGCCACTGGAAATTGAGGCGTGTCATGTCTGAAGGTTCATGGCAAATCTGACCCAATCATCTACGGAAGAGTGAAAGCAAAGAGGGCTCAACAGCCTTGAATTGAGTGGTATGCAGTATGCGTGATGAGTCTACCCATCGCTCCTTGGTTAGGTAGCCCACACGCGCGCCGTTCCTTAGCCATGGTCCAATGCCACTTCCAACATGCACAGTGATCACAAGATTCGCGATTCAAATAGCAAACTCAAGCACTGGGCCTAAGTTTGCTGAAAGATTCGCCGCCGCTAAATCGCATCAACGCAAAACATCAGTAGTTCATGCTCTTACACACCTCCTGCAGAGATTTGAAGATGCAGCTGCAAACTTGGCCACACTGACGTACAAGCTCTGGGCTTTGCAGATATCAAGAGAGCGGATGCCTTTGCTACATGAGCTCCACACAGGTTGAAGTAGACGTAAGCTGAAAGGCACATACAGTCCGTTCAGGCACAGTTTTCAGGTATACGTTGGTGGCCTCATGTCTAAGAGTCAGAGCAGGTCTAACGGAAAACCCCTCCAGCTTGTGGATGAAGATGGGCATTTCGGTGTAATCGCTGCATGGAACATTCATTGCAATACAATAGGCTAGGCAGCGTTTGAATTTCATCAGCCTCCCCTTCGCACTGCTTCAGACAAGTGGCGTTCCCGCGACAAAGTTCCTGTTGCGAAGCAGACGTCCAAATCGATTGACCACTGAGTTGTGATTCTCATGTTGTGGCCCTCTACAACGCGTTTCTCATGCAGGTGCGACATGGTGGGAGATCCATGCTGTGGCAGCTCCTTGCAAGCAACCCTCCAAAGTTTCAGCAACTCTGCATAGCACAAGTCTCTGAACAAGAGGGGACACGCTACACGGGAGCGGCTTGTTAGAATAGCCTGGTTTCCTGGAAGCCTTCTTGGCAAACCTTTCTGGGGGTACACTGTGGGTATGTTCTGAGGTTGGGAATACATTTTCTGTCTGGCACGTTCTGTTGCAGGCAAGGCTTTTAGATGCGAAAATGGTGGCAAGGCACAATCACAAGGCGTCACAAAAAGCAATTGAGAAAAACTAAAACCTGCCAAACCCTTCTGACCCCAAGGAGGCCTCCAACCTGGGATGCTGTTCAGGAAGTAAATAATGGGGGGGGGCTTAATTATAGTAACAATAGTGACCATAAACCCTACACCCTATATACCCTTATTGTAGTAACTTAACGCAGCCGGCCTTATCTCCGCCTTGGCCTGGCAGCCAGGAATTGTCAGGACTTGATGGTCTTGGGGGAAGGTTTAGGTTTTATATATACATATATGTATATACATGTATAAAGTATGGGGATGGAAACGAACTTGGAAAATGCAAAAATTCTTGATGTTCTTGGTGATTATACATATATATATACATATAAATACATATACGTATGATTCGGAAATGCTTTAGTATGCTAGAGGTGTGCTGGAGGGGCGTGACTTGACTCAGGGTCAGATCAGGTCAGCAGATCAACAGCAAAGCATTGCTAGATCTACAACAGCAGAAAAAGTTTGGCAACAGCAACACATTCGTTGCATCGATGACAGGAGGAGCAAGCCAACAAGAAAGCAGATTGAAAGAGTGAAGGCAGAGTCTGATCTCGAAGCATGTGGGGTTCAGGGTTTAAGGTTGTGAGTTCCAAATGCAATATGCGCTCAGGCCACCCGATGAAAGTCCTACGCCCACTTTTTCAAATTGTCAGAGGGGAAGGACGGTGGCCTTCCAATGCATGCATTAAGGCTGCTTTGGTCACAGATACGTCGTTTGCAGGTTCACGGGTATGCCGCGGGGAGGGGAACCACGCATATACGATAACACCCTTAGCTGCGGCACTTCTGGCCGTAGTTGCATCTAGCTCCATGTAATTCCATGTATGCATATGTTACATTGAATGTTTACCTACATGCTCCCTCCTACCACGAACGTACTGGCAAGGCTTAATATGGCTGGCAGTCTCCTAATCTGTCTTCTGTGCAACTCATATGACCGGAAAGTCCCTACATACTTCAACACGGAGCCGTGTTAAAGAGAAAACTTGTGTAACCCACAGCTCTGGACAGAAACCCTGAATCCTTAAACCAAAGCCCTCAATCCTATGCCCCAGTCATCTGGAGTCTACCCTCTGAGTTCTGAACCCTACATCCTGACCACCAGGTAATGTAAATTGGAGCCATCAGCCATCACACCTCGTTGGCAGCGTTGCTCTCAAGCAGCCCGCCATCCTGGCAGCAGCTTCGAATATAAATGGATTGTGGTTTTAAGGTGCTCCCTTACTGCCCAGCTTACATGCAGCATGCAGGATGATGTGGGGCAACGGGCTGGGCTTACAGTTTGGGATTCGGGGCTTCGGTGTGGGGGATTGCGGGTCGTGTTAGGCTTCGTGGGGATATGTAGGAGTTTATAGGGGCTTGTGGACGCAACGCAGGAACATCTACCGGTGCATAGGTTCCTCGAGAATTCATATCTTCGTATGTGAGCCCGGTCCGATGAGAAGCTATCGCAGATCCTTAACTGTAGACCCTTGCTTGGGCTATATGTGGAGATCTCAAATACAAACGCTAAAACGTTGTGGTTGAGGATGGACGTCTCTCCCTCCTTTTGAGCAAGCAAGGACCAGTGATGTTGGGAGCTGCGGGTTGCGGGATTAAGGCCGTCGATCTCATTGAATCAAGTCCTTGCTGATTTTGAATGAAGGACCACCTTCCACTAAGCACCACAACATCCAGCAGGCCTCAAGCCACTGTGCGCGCTCCAAGGTAACCTGCAGAGCCGAACAACACATGAGTGAGCTTCTGATACCTTCAATTCTTGTGAGGACAACGGTGACACTCAGGCGCTTCTACCTTGTTGCCCATGCGGGAGCCCCGACCACTTGGGTTGCTACCAACGTGATTGGCTGTGCAGCTGGGCTGTCACACATCGGACACGCCCCAAACCACAGACTCCGGAAGGGACGTAACCTCGGGGTTTTGGGTACCTACGCTACGACTTCCGTCAACCTTGTTCGTCGAGACACAGTGCAGTGGCAAGCCAGTGAAGCTCAATGCGCACTTTCATCTGCAGAGTCACACAAGTCGCTTCCGCGGTGGACAGCAAAGATCTCCCTCCACATGCCCCAATATAGTGGAAACCGTTCATCTTCCTAGTGAGGGCCTTGCTTCCTTCCTGCAAAGCATCAACGTGCAGCTCCAAGGGTGGCTGCAGTCTTTGTCAATCCACTTCTTCTGTAGATGTGCGGAAGATTGCTTACAGCCTCTGGGTGCTTCGTACTGCGAACTACGACAAATGCCAACCACTACACTTGTGAGCAGCAACGAACCTGCAAGCGGTTGCTTTTCGCCAGCATGCAAATCAGTTCAAGCACCCTGGCAGATCGGGCGAAGCAGCTGAGGTTTCAAGCTGGATATTCAAAGAAGCTACCTTGACGAGATTGATTACTTCGCAAGCATTCTGTCCTAGGACCTTGAGCAAGCTGGCTTCACCTGAGCTGCCGAGCTGGGTTGAGATACACGTGGCGATAAATGGCATAAAGATGCATAAAGAAACCACATGGCTTTACAAAGTACCACCGTGGCCGCACCCTAACTTATGAGTGCACTGGGCCGTCGAGGATTGTGCCCTCAGGTTGCCAGGACGAGATTGGGAACGCCAGCGAGGCACTATCACCGCAGCCAACGGTTGCCATCCCTGTCTTGCACGCAGGTTAAGAGCTGATCAAGCTTGGCATGACCAGTTACGTGCATAGGTCGAATCTCGACAGTAAATCCTACAGCGCAGTGAGAACTTTGTCTTCACCAGCATTCGCAGCCCACAGTTCAAAATGCTTGTGCCGGACGAGAAAGAGTTGGAGCTACTTGCACACCAGATCACGAGTCCTCCGAAAAGTGCACTTGAAATGAAACTGTTACATGAAATGCACAAAGCTGCTGTATGCTAGCGGGCAGGTCCCTCCCAGCGATGGAACGGTCGTTTCCGCAAATCAGATTCGTCAAAAGGGCTCTCAACACGCAGATTCACTCGCTATGAGCTGGCATCTATGAAGGGACCCCATTTCAAAACACGATGCTGCCACGCCGGAGTGTTCAGTAGTAAGTGACTCAAGTGTACCCCAATTAGGCTCCTCCACCAGGCATTGATCTGCTGAAGTTCCAGCTGTGGCTTTGGGCATCGCCTCCTTAGAAGTTCTTTGGGATTTTTTTTCGCATGCTTGCAGGGCATCATGGAAAATTACAGAATGTTTTAGGGACCCTCTTCTTATGTTAAGCCCACTAGCAACAGCTTCTTGATCGCAGCATATCGTTTGTAAAGCGCAGCTATCATGGGCAGACCGAATCACGGAAAGCCAAACAGGTTCGAGCAGCACACTCCAGGCACTTTATCCAAGCCCCAATCCTTCAGCCTCCCAACCAAAAACCTTAAACCTATTATTCCTTACAACCTGAATCTTCCAGGCGTCTCCAGGATGGTGGACGGGACGTAGCGCCAGGGCTTCCACTTGTCGATAAAGTGCACGAGCTGGAATAATGATACTGTCATACGAACAATAGCTGTCATGATTCAACACTAATTACACATGGTACTATATCATATGGCCTCTCAAAGGCCTCTCAGTCCCTCCTATCTGAGTTGTGAAAAGCCTCATAAAGTCCACCCAAGAAGCCGCAGCGTGCTTGAGCACCCATTCGGCAGACTCTCCGAAATGCTTCTGCCAATGCCTGACATCAGGCGCTACTTTGCTTCTAAGCCCACTCTCCATCCCCAAAGCGACGATTCCAGATAGTCAAACCCAAACCAAATCCAGACTGTGCTGGTACCCTCCAAAAAATCTTGCTCTCCCGCAGCCTGTAGATAGCTGGAGGCCTTTCGAAACCATCATCGGCGCAGAATTCGCCAATAAGCAGCGCATAGTATCCAGGCAGCAGGGAAATCGAATCTTCTCGGTGCCAGAGCTAAGGTCAGACAAACGTGTTACAAGACACAAGAGATTGAGCGGTGGCGCAACTGAGAGCAGGGGCAACAGCAGCAGTAGGATCATTCAAACTAACCAAACCTTTCCAGAGGAAGTGAACACTTCCTCGAACCGTCAGAGTCTGCCCAAACCACGGCCCGCTGAGCTTCTGAAATACACAAAAAAGGATACAATCTTACTGTTTCTTGGGTACCATTGTATCCCAATTACAGAATAAGAAAATACTACTCAGCTGAGCTTCTGAAATCTCTATAGCCCTAACACATTCCCAATATAAAACCGAATATAAGCCTAATACAAAGCTGAGCTTCTGAAATGGCTGTTGACCCAGTCCATCTCTGATGAGAAATCCAGGTTGGCGCCATCATCCAAAACCCCTGGGCTCAGTAGGCACTCCGCGAGTCCAACATGAAACCCCGTTATAGGAGGCAAGGGTTTAGGGTCTATATAGGGGTAATGCAAAATAGAATGGAAACTACTAGAGTATATTGGGTTATATTCAGGATAATAATGGAAAAGAACATGGAAACTGTAGGGATTATGTAAGGGTTATGAGGTATATATAAATGTTACACGGATATATGGGGCTTAGGATTTTTAAGGATCAGACTCTACCTCAAAGACTACTGCGCTTGCCGGACTTGTCTTAAGAGGTTCCTTCCTTGTCAAGCGAGATTCCAATTTGTTACAGTTCCCAACCTGAGCCATCCGAGCCCCAGGCTACAGACTTGAAGGCCTCTAAGAACAAGGAGTCCAAGTCCCAAAGGGAACTTCACTGATGGCCAGGCACCTGCGAAGTCTCGTTCGTAGAAGATGCGACGGGGATCGATGACAACTGGCCCTCCGCTCCTTTGCTGCTGTTGGAGGTGAGAAAGGGCTTCAGGCCTCACCCTATATAAGTAGTAGGTTCCATTTGCTTTTCCATTATCCCTATATAGCTCCTATATAGCCCATAGTATTTGGGTCCTTGAACCTTTAGGGAAGAAGCACTTGCGCAGTCATAGCCGAGCAATGAGTGGGAGTGGTAGTGGTTGTGGTGGTATCGTGCGCTGGCAAGAGCGGCAGCGGCTGGTAACATTGATAGTTGCTCCAGAAGTAGCCTCAGCGTTGGAATAACAACAAGAAGCCAGCATAAAGTGGCAACAGCGGCCCCGATGCTCTGGTAGTAGCGAAGCTAGGTGCGGGCAAGAAGTGGCAGCAAAAGGTCAGCAGCAGCGGCGCTAGCGGCAGCAGCTACGCGCTCAAAGCGATAAGATGGGCTTGTGCTTGTGGGCAGGAATGATAGCTGAGGGAAAGGCTACTAATTAAGCCCGACTGGGCAGCATACCAAGGCCACAAGAAAGAGCCCCAGCTGTGACAGAGTGCAGCTGAAGTTCATGGCTGTATGACCTTCCCAGTAGGCCTGAAGCTCAGGAGAATGCAGTGGCAGAGCCATTTGACACAGCTACATGGTGGCACGCGGTCAGCCAATGCTCGCCCTTACTACTTAGAAAGTGACATACAGGCACAAAAGCGGATTGACGATTTTGAGACACTGAATTTCATGACCATTTGGCGGTTGTGAAGGACCGGCTTCCCTCAAGAGGGCCATGAAGCAACCCTGCATTTCAAGAAACCGTTCAGTCCCCCTACGCCATGTTCTACATGTTCTGTGAGAGTGGGTATTTTGAAATCAAGCAGATTCCTACCCCAAGCCACTAAGAACACCTGGCAAAGCGAAGGGCTATCGGAGCAGCGATTTCCACCGGAAAGTTCGCCAAATCGAACCTGAAGTTGATGGTAAAAAATCGATCAAAACAGTGTTGAGGGTCTAGGATGGTCTAAGGTTTTGCTGGCCTGGTCGGGCAGGAAAATGACATGTACATTCAGATAATGGTTCTGGAGTTGGCTGTTGACTGCCGTGGGCCCCCAACCTTCCCCGTGTAGGAATTCCCGTCCATTGCAGCTGTTGAAACCCTGGTTGAAATGTGGGTGCGCTCAAATACGTATACATATATATATATATATGTATACATGTATATATCTTGGGGCTAAGCTGTTGGGACTTCTGTGACAGACCAACGAGGATAGCCTGAACCAGGGATTGACAAACTTGACATCATGAGTATTATCATGAGTACTACTAGGATTGCTATCATGGTTACTATTGTAATTAGCATTATGATTTTGATCCAGATGTCAAATGCGATGATTGGTTACCAAGTCTCACCTCAGGACCTGCCTTTGTTAAAACAAATGCTTGGGTTTTCAAAATATTGGAGAATCAAATGGAAAAAATACAAAATGAAATGGGAACTATGAGGTTATAGGTTTCCCTAAAATTGCGGGGTACCATATTGGGGGGTCCCTATAGCAAGGATTGTAATATTTTGGGGTCCTCCGAATGCTGGACTACCATATGCTGGCAGCGCTTCCTGGCAGAGATATGATTCATGCTTTGGGGTGTGACTGCTTTTGGCGTGAGAGTCACTTAACCACCCACACTGATCCCAAACGTTCTCAGGGAACCTGGTGATTCATCCCCACCCAAAACCCTAAACCTAAGCCCTGCATCCATTGGCCCTTGCTGGCTCCGCCAGGCAACAGGTTGTCCATGCTGCCGATCGGGAAGCTGTCAGCATCCATGTAGATGATTCGCTCATACTGGTACAGGCTAGCCTGGGTGTCCACGCAGCGTAAGACAGTCACTGGAGGAATGCTCATTGAGCTGGGATTTAGGGCAAACTGCACTGGATTGCCTATTCTACAAAACTGCATCATGACCATGTAGGAAAACAAAGAGTTTATGGCAGCTTTTTCAAACTCACAATGCACTTCTTGATGCGTTGATCTGACGACTGATCAGGAATGCACCCATCTACCTGTTTTCAAGGCATCGGGCAGTCAAGCAGCAACACGAAGTTTGAGAAATGACTGCAGCCATTGCCACTTACCCTTGCTGGTCGCCTGGTCCACCTCGGAGCTGGACATTAAGGCAATGTGGGGATGGCGGGGCCAACGAAAACTGTAGCAGCTATGGACTCATGTGACAGAAGCTAGGTCTCTTTCTTCAGGTCTATGCCAGACATCTGGCAAACTGAACTACTGCATTCAAAGCGCAGCTGTCCAAAGCTGCCCCTATGAATCCCTGTATGGTCTGCAGGGCCCTTCAGCTCACCCTACAAAACTCTCATATGGGTGGTTGTCAAAA